CTATCCCACCTCCAGGGAATAGCAAGGGGCGGGGGTCTGGCCCAGGAGGAGGGGCCTGGGACCTCTGGTCAAAATATCCTCTGGGCTAATATAGTGTTCAGGGCCACCTGTGACTCTGGCCCTGCATAGGAAGTAAACCTCAGTCTAATTGAAAAGGTCAGGGGCTGGGTTGTAGCTCAGTTGGCAGAGTGCTTGCCTCCCATGCACAAGGCCCTGGCTTCAATCCCCAGCACCACACACTGCAAGTGCCACTTCTCCCTCTCATGATCCTGTGGGCGCACAGAGGAAGCTGAATGCAGAGGGTGTCAGGAAGAAGAAATGCTCAGGCTGGAGAAGCAATGAGAGGAGAAAGTCATTCCAGGGCACAGGGATGGCATGCACAGAGGCCTAGAAGTGAGGACCATGGGGCACCCAGAGCCGCATCTACCTGCTATTTGTATGTCTGAGCATGTGCAGAAGGCTGATGGTTATTTGGAGCCAGAGTTTATCCAACTCTTCTGAACACCCCTGTGCTTGGCTTGAGATTGGGTATAAAGATCAAACATCAGGGACATAAAGGTGTTGGGACACACACTTTGCCTTTTTCTGTACCCTTGCTGTCTTGCCACAGTGCTGGGCAAATGGCAGGTTCTCAATAAACATGTATAAAATGAATGAATGAATGAATTTAAAGAGGGCACGGCCACTGATAGAGAAATAGAATGGAGGAAAGAATTCAACTGTGCTCTGACCCAAGACTTGAACCTGCCAGAAAAGTCTTGGGGGAAGGAAGGCTGTTTTTCTTTCTTTTTAAATTTAAAAAGTTTTCAGGGCAAGGCTTTGCTGTGGGTTGTGCAGTTAATCAGTCTACGGTAGGGTGTTTGGTGTTTTTGCTGCTGATGCAATAGGCTAGGAGGATTTCCACAGTGTTTCTCGTTGAGCAAGCCAAGGCCACATAGGAGAGTCTGGGCGGGGCCTCCAGAGCTAGAAGAGAAGGCCAAAATGATGCAAAGGAGGGAAACCAGAGCAGGGAAGTGGCCACATTGTTGCCCAACACATCTGGAATGTGTCCCCAGGTAGCAGCCTTTGGACAGATCTTGTCATTTGGCTGGATCAGAATCAAAGGCTGACAGACCCTCAGAGTAGAGCAAAACGTATTTGAACTACAATTGAGTGGAAACTGGCTGCCCTGTGTGCCCACCCCAGGGCTGGAGGTTTGCTTGGTGGGTGAGGGCTCAGTGCTGATGTGGGCCAGTCTTAGGCCTGCGTCTTGGTGAGCTGGTTAGCCCTGCTATCCAGGCTCCAGGGTGACATACTCCCCATCAGGCCCTTGGGCCCCCTTTGTAGGTATTTTTGCCCCAAGGAGAAAAAACTGTAGTTTCATGGAGTTTCAGCACCAGGGCTTCCTGGGGAGAGATAAGGAAGAAGCCAACCACTGTGGACACCTCCCGATCTTCATTCCCTTGGGGAGACAGGATGCCCTGTGCCCAGATGCAGATGAAGTTAATGTGAAGCTAATGAAACTGCCAAGCTAATGAAGCTAGATCTTAGAGTGTTCTGTTGAACTGACTCTAGACCCATTTTTTCCCCCCAGTATTGGGGGTTAAAGCCAGGGGAGCTCTATTACTGAGCTACACCCTCTGTGCTTGTTATTTTTTTTTTATCTTGAGACTGGGTCTCCTTAAGTTGCTGAGGATCTTGCTTAGGTTGCTGAGGGTAGCCTCTAATGCAGGATCCTCCTGCCTCAGCCTCCCAGTTGCTGAGATTATAGGCACATGCTACTGTGCCTGACTTTGATCTAATTTCATATTCACCATTTTGCATACTTATTCTTTTTTTTGGTACCAGGGATTGAACCCAGGGGTGCTTAACCACTGAGCCACATCCCCAGCCATTTTTATTTATTTATTTTTAATTTTGATACAAGGTCTTGCTAAGCTGCTTATAGGGCCTCAGAAAGTTGCTGAGGCTGGTCTTGAATTTGTGATCCTCTTACTTCAGCCTCCCGAGTTGCTGAGATTACAGGCTTGTACTCTTTTTCTCAAAGACCCCTCATCTACCCCCAGGTATAAGCTTCAGGCCTCACAGACCTGGATCCACCCCTGGTGATCCTCTTTGACTCTGGAAAACAGTCAGCAGACATTGGGTGCTTTGGGGCTCAGGGTTCCTGGGCGTCCTTCCCAAGCCTCAACTAGAACCCATGCCCTGGCACAGGGGACAGAGGGTAGTGGATTCCAACTCAGAGCACACAGTTCCCCCACTACAGCCCTGTGGAGATGCAGCCAAGATGCCGGGCCCAGTGGGGTGGAAGGAGGCAGTGGTCAGCTACAGAAAGTTCAAAGTGTGGGAAATAGCAGCCCGACAAGTGTGAACATACCAGATCAAATAACACTGCTAATGGTGTCCATATGGCGCACTGGTGGGCATTTGATGTTGACCCATGGTTGACCACTAGCTCAAAGTGGTTGCCGTGACATACTATACCAGACTTGCACACATCAAAAGGGAGAATTTCATGGTATGTGATTTCTATCTTGTGTTTAAAAAGGACGCTGAGAGCTCAGTTGCTGTGGCACTCAGCACACATACTGGATTCAAGCATGGAGTGTCCATGAACACGCTGCTTGTCGCTGGGGTTTCTGGTCTACCTCCTGAGGGCTCTGTTACACACTGCAAGAGCTGTTGGGGGAGACTGCATTCCAACAAACTCCCCACTTGGGCTAGGAGACAAGACAGTGACACTGCATACAAGTTTCCTATCCAGTGGGGTCCTTGGGGACAGTGAAGTGGCTTTAGTTATCCACGGGTGATTGGGTCTCGATTGGCTGCCCCCATCTTGGCACATTTTTATCAACCTCTCTGAGCCTGGCACATTCTTGAGCCAGAGGAAGAGTTAACAATTAACTAGGAGGTGAGAGACAAGAGGCTGGGGCAGCCTCTCATGACTCCTGGGCTGTTCTCCTGTTCTGGGGCAGTGTGCTGCCCCCCTGAGTCACCCCCACCCCCAAGCTCTGTTGGTCCTGGCACTGGGTAGGGACAGAGCCTCTTCAAAGAGGAGCTTGGCCTCCAAGGGGCCCAGTAGAGCCACCCAGGCTCTGGCCAAGGCCCCACCCCTCCACAGATATCCAGACACCTGGGGCAAACACCTTTTTCCCCAGGGTCTGTTCAAATCCACCACAGCCTGCTGCTCCATTGCTCTGTCACTTCTGGCATTTGACTTGGCTACATTTCAAAGTGCATCAAGCAGCCCCCTCTCCAAGCTGATCAATCCAAAGTGAATGAAGAGCTTCAGTGCCTTGTAAGGGCACTAGCCAAAAAGAATGGTGCTCCTTGCATCTTCTTCTGGGATACGTGGCCAGACAAATGTATGCACACATAGCATACATGCCTACACATGTATGGGTACCTTGGAATGGATTTCATCATAACCCAAGGAACTAGGAAGGTGGCTCCTAGCAGACTAGATTCCACAAAAGGCATAAACTCTTCAAAAGCCACTGGCCAAACGTACTGGGTTGGGGTGGTGCTCTGGGCTTACTGCTCTGGGTCTGAGCTGCAACCCCCACCGTCCAGAGCTTTTGGGGGGTGCATGTGGCAGGTAGAGTTGAGTGGGAACCCCCTGCCATAGGACCTGCCATTTTGTTTTGAACACAGAATGTTAGCAGAGGACCAGTGCAGGAGCCAATCATTCAGGCTGCCTTCAGGGACAGCCTGCCTTTCAGGTGAGAAACGTATTTGCACAGCCAAAACCCCAGTCCAGGGCTTGAAGAGAGCAATGCAGCCCTCCATGTTGCCCAGATGGCAGGAAGCAGGCTGGAGGGCTGGGTGATCACCTCATTTGGTAGGGTCCATTGTCATCTGCAAAGTTCCCAGAAAAATTTGGGAGGTTCTGAATTCTTCCACCTGCTTAACTCCATTCCCGTGGGCAGGAAGGTTGGCATAGGTACACCTTCTCTAGGATCGCAGTTTGGTTACTCATCAACATGGCTACAAAGTCCCCATACCTGTCTGAGGATACCTCACCCATGGCCATGGGGTAACTGGTGCTGATACATGCCCCAGAGCCTGTCTGGCTGCCTGATGGTCAGCTTTCTGTCTGCTACCATTGGGAAGAAATCCAAAGATTGAGAATGGTTTTCTTTTTTTGAATCAAAGCAATACACTTTCCCGGGCATTGGAAGTGAGTGATGCTATAACGTAAGAAAGAGGTGCCCAAGAACATGCCACACACATGAACATCCTCTGCATATGTCCAGGCAGACAATAGGCATGGTGCCTGGTTACTTGGATGGGAAGGAAGGTAGGAGTGGGGTTAAGAATGGTAATTTTGGACACAGTGGAGTACTACTCCTACTATATAGTATGGTCAAAGCTACCCAGGGAAGCTACTATCTGACACAGTCTCCTTTCCCTTCCAACATATTTTTTCTTTTTGTATGGAGGACTGGACTCGTGAACACGATCACTGAACCCCATCCTCAGTCCTTTTTTAAATTTTATTTAAATACAGGGTCTCAGTGAGTTGCTTAAGGCCTCGCTAAATTGCTGAGGATGGCTTTGATCAACTCAGCCTCCAGGGCTGCTGGGATTACAGGCCTGAGCCATTGTGCTCAGCCCCTCCCAACACTCTAAGAACTTCCTCTGGAAAAGTCAACCACATCCTCATTCCAACTCTTCTTAAAGCAACTTCACAGAATTCCTAGGACTTCTCTTGGGTTCTTAAAGAGATAGGACCCTGACATGGGTGGCCCTATAAAATCCTTACCCCATTTCCTTCCCTCAGTTCAAACACATCACTCTTCATAAATTTTTTTATTAAAATACTGTTACACCCAGTGGAATGCAGCAGCAATCCTGGTACAGGGTGGCATAACAAAACAGCCATGTTTACATTTAAATATTTATGATAACTTAAACATACAGACACACATCACGGTCTTTGGCAGAAAATGTTCACAGCACAAAAAATACTTTAAAAGAAATACCAAATATTAATCCAAAATATATTAAGTTGTTTTTTTTTTTCCTTTCATGATATTTTTGTTGTTTTTTTTTTTTCCTCTTTTTCTTTTTTTGCTTTGTAAACAATGCACATGAACCAAATGTATTTTTCAGGGGTTAGGGAATTAAAAAAATATGCAATTGTCCAGCAAATGCAAATGTTTAAAAAGATAACTTGGGGAACATGGAAATGAAACAAACACATACAGAACTAAAAAACAAGAAAGGAAAAAAAAAAAGACAAATATTCAAGAACTGAAAACAGTAAAGACAACTGCTAAAACCCACCAATCACTACTGAACTGAATTGGAGGACTTTTAAGACCAAAGTCAAAAATCTCTGCTGCTGCAGGCTGCCATGCGGGACGTTTCACTCTAGTTTCAAAGTATCTGGCCCTGCCTGGGGGCTGCGCATGGGTCACGTGAGGAGCCAGCCTCGTGGGCGCCATTTTGTGATGGAGGCTCCATGTCAAGTCACATCTTGTAGCTCACTGACTAGTCTTCAACAGCACAGTATCCTCTCCCAATCCCTCCAGGTGAGAACAGACAACAGTATGAGAACAAGATAACTCCAGCTTCCTCAGAGAACTGGTGCTGGGTGGGGCCACCTTCATCTACAAGTGGCATGGCAGTTGTCTATGTGTGGTGGCTCATTTCCTCTGGCTCAATTTATAATCAAACTGACAGGATGTCCCAGGGACGGGAGTTGTGGAGCCATTTCAACAGGTTGATGGTGGGGATCCCATGGGCATTTGATACAGGGCTCCAGATGGAAGGACAGGCAGCCAATGTCCCATGAAACAACCAGCATCAAAATCCATGGACCAAGAACTTGAGAAGGAATAACAATTGGGAAGCCAGTCAGAAGTTTTCAGGAACTGTGGCAGCAGGGACAGGGAAACACCACCCCTGAAGACAAATCAGAACCGGCATGCCTCGATTTTCTGTTCCACAAAAAAGGGAATTATTTACAAACTGGAAACTGTCTCCCAGGCCACTCAAATGGCCCCAACCCACTCTTAACTGAGGAGGGATGAGACTGTGGCTTCCACAGGACTCACATCCTCAACAGTCCCCCAAAGACTCAAGGTGCAGCGATCCCAAGATGACAGTGAAGAACTGGAGAGCAGACGAGGTTGGCTGGGACCACACTTAGCCAAAGAACATGGCTGGCTTGATTCATGAACCAGCCCCACTGATGCCCATGGGCAGCTACCCTGGGCAATCAGCCCCCAAAACCAACACATCCCCTCTCCTTCCCTGCCTGAGTGCCAAGTGGCAGGTGGCAGGTCAGAGTGGGCTCAGTTCCTTTCTGGGCTCTTAGTTGCTACCCCAACTGCTAGCCCTGGGCAGCAGGCAGAGGGTGAATCCTTATTCTTCATGGGCAGGGAAGGAGTATGGACTAAGAAGCAGTCTTCTAGGGAGCTGGTCTCTCTCAGCTCCCTTCTCCCCTACAGCACTCCTTCCTGAGCTCTCAGGACCAGATGGTCATTGGATGGGGAAAGCGGGGAAGCAGCAGTTGAAGAAGGAGCTGCTGGAATGGCCAAGGGCAGGGGAGGAGAGGGAGAGGTTGAGGGTCCTCAAGGCCCCACCTCCTTCAGATCAGTATCTCCACCATGTCCGACAAATCCTGGACTCGGGATGTTGCTATGGAGTCTGGGGAGAGACAAGAACATAGGCACATGTTACCAGACTGCTCTTTTAAATTCCTGGTACTTTTTTTTTTTCTCCTTTTGCAACACTGGGGATCTAACCAGAGCCATATGTATGCTAGGCAAATACCACATCCCCAGCCCTTTTCTATTTTTAATTTTTGAGTCAGGGTCTTGCAAAGTTGCTGAGGCTGGCTTTGAACTTGTGATCCTCCAGCCCTTCAGCCCATAACCAGGCCAACCTAGAACAACACTCTGCTGTTTCTCAGCTCTTGGCCCAGACCCCCAGCCTCCAATGGGGAAGTTGCCTTTGTTTCTAACTTTGAACTGGTTGAAGGGCTTGGAGGGAGTCGTGGAGGGCCCTGCAGGAGGGAGGCTGATGCATTCTTTCCATGCCTGTGGTTTTTTTGAGATCATGAGGCACAGGCAAATATGCAAAGGCTAATGTAGAAGGGGAGCCAAAAAAAAAAAGGCATGTTCTCAAGTTTCTCCTTCCTGGACTCTTTTTAAACAGTCTCCTAACTTGAGAGTGCCCTCAGGATAACTTGCCAGGCTTCATTATCTTAGCTATTTAGACTGGCAATGAAATATGTCAGGAAAACCATGAAGGAGGAGATAAAGTGCTTTCTGTCCTGCAGCTTTCTTTCTGATTTTGGATCTGTCTCGAATCAGGGCTTCCGATCCCTCTACTCACATAGCCAACAGTCCTGGTGTTCACACTGAGGTGGGCCAGATGCCTCCTCACCTCTCACTATGAAGGGCTCCCCATGGAGGACAGGTAATGACCAGGAAGGGTCTGGAGAGACGGCCTTGGTGTTCTACTTCATACCCAGTGCACCCTCAGCCCCACCCAGCACAAAAGCCAAGGAGAAATGCGCAGCTCACCCAGAGAGGTTGCCTTTTGGCCACTGCTGAACCCTAGCAGGCCATCGGGCTCTGGTGCCAGGCAGGTAGAGGTGCTGTCTGGCAGGCCATCCGTCTGGGTGCTCCCATCTCTGCTCCCATGTTTGGTATGGGCAGGGAGAGGAGCTGTAGCTGCTGTCTCCTCCGACGGTGCCCTGTCTAGGGGAAAGGAAGGAGATGGATGGTTACTACCTGGCTTATAAGAGGTAGCCTCTATGAAAAACACCCCAAGTGAACAGGACCTACGACACACTGGAGGCTGTACGGATTGCTCATGATTTGCAATAACTCTGATAAGACTAAATAAATGTGAATGGGAGTAACCATCAGGCTGAGTTGGCTACAGATGGTTTTGAAGGGTAGAACCTTCCTTTGTAGAATAAATCTAGAATTTCTGTGGTATCTGATTAGGAAGAGTGGAAAGGGTTTGTATAGAAGATATATGTGCACAGAAAACTCTATTATCCTGACTCCTTTCATCCTTGGTGCAGGGAGGAAAGGTCTGGTAATTTGTGTTGGGACCTGAGAAACCTTCATCTACCCCCCACCCCCAAGAGCCTCCTCTTACCTATAGTCAGCTGGGTGGGGGCATCTGCTTGCCGCTCACTTGATGAAAGTCCTTGCCAGCCCTGGGTCCCTGCTGCTGCAGCCACAAAGATAGATGGCACTGACTTGGCGGGCCGCAGGGAGCCCTGGGGGGCCTTGCCAGGGTCTTTCCTGGACCGCTGCTGAAGGACCTTTATCACTGCATCTTTCTCCAGGATCTGGGCATGGAGCACCTTTAACCTGAGCGGGGAAAGGCCAAGCACCCTCATCAGATCCACAGCCCCAGCGCCTCCCTCCCTACAGCCACGGGGGACCCTCTCTTTTGCATCAGGGACCTGGTGTGAGGCTGCAGATGCCAGCACAGCTCTGCATTTTGACGCTCTAAGCCCAGGCTTGTGAGGCTCTGAGTGCTTTTCACATGGCAAAAGCATGTCATGGGGGTGGGGGGGGGTGGGTCTGGACTCACTGAAGGCAGCAATGATATGACCCTCTCTTGTCCTGAAGGGCAAAGCCCCAGAGAAGGTGGAGAAGCTTAGAGCCTGGATGGTAGCTACCAGCTCCAAGGCCAAGAACTTGGTCTAATATGGAGTCAGCTTAGAAACAGGAGGGCCCACTGAGCTGAGTGGGGACAGAGGCTTATTTACCAGGGATCAAGGACAGGGCAGATTCAGCCACCCCACCCACACCACAGGGCCCGAGCCTGGCCTGCCATTGCCGAACCTGCTTTCCATCTCCTGATGTCTGTGGCCACCTGCAAGCAGGCCCTCATTGAAGCTACTGCTGGGCGAGGGCTGGGGGGAGTGTCGGATGAGAGTAGTGTCCCGCTGGGCAGCTGCGGTGGCGGCAGCATCCATGGCAAACTGCCTCATGGCACGTTCCTCCAAATACTTCTGCTCCCACTTGGTCATGTCGGCCTCCAGCGCCAGGATCTGTTCCTCCTTCTCTCGCAGCTGTTCTGAGAGTCGCAGGGCACTGAGCTCTGGGGAACCACCACTGCTGCCACCACTACTGTGGGTGCCCGTCTGTCTCTGCAGAGAAAGATGCACTGTGGTCAAGGATGGGAGTTGTGGTACAGTAGCTCCTCATCCTCACACAGATGCCACGTGCAACACAGACTCTCCATGCTGCTGTGCCCAGAGAGAGGCAGCACAGATCCCCAAATCCTACCCCTGAATCCTGTGGCCAAGGACCATATAAATGATTCTCTAAACTAGTAGGAACAGGACGGCTATCAATAATCATACTGGCCAGATGTGGTGGCCCATGGGTGTAATCCCATCGGCTAGGGAGGCTGAGGCAGGTGGGTTATAATTCAAAACCAACCTTGGCCACTTAGTGAGACCCTAAGCAGCTTAGACCCTGTCTCAAAATAAAACATAAAAAATTCCCCCTAGCCAGGCATGGTGGCACAGGACAGTAATCCCAACAGGTTGGGAGGCTGAGGCAGGAGGATCAGGATTTCCAAGCCAAACTCTTAGCAAGGTCCTAAGCAACTCAGTGAGACCCGGTCTCTAAATAAAATACAAAAAAAGGGCTGGGGATGGGGCTCAAAGGTGAACTACCCAAGTTCAATCCCCAGTACTAAAAAAAGAAGAGTCGCCCATGCTCGGACTCAGGCCACGTAGCAGAGCCTCTGCTACTTGAGTGAGTGGCCTCTGGGTAAAGAGGGTACAAGGATCAGACACAGGTGCGTTCCCAGGAGGCTGAGGCTTCCTCCGATGCTGCCTTAACTCTGCCCGCTGCATGGCTTCGCGGCTCACCTGCTGTGCGCGCAGGGCCTTGAGTTCCTGCTCTAGGCGCGTCCGTAGACGTAGTTCCAGTTGCTCCCGCTTCTCGCAGGCCGCTTGCAGCTGCCCAAGCGCCTGCTGCAGCCGCTCCACCTTCTCCACATAGGCCTGCTTCTTGCGCAGCTCCTCCTCAGCACGCGCTGCACGACCCTGAGCATTGCCCAGAGCCTGTTCCAGCAGCTCCGCACGCCGCCGCTGGTCCTCGATGGCACCGCGCAGCAGCGCCATCTCCCTCTCCAGCTTCTCTTGCTCCTGTTGCTGCTCGTAGCCTGCGGGGAGAAAGAGGGGGCTTGGTCAGTGATGGCAACCACCCTGGCTGGCCCCACTCTCTTGACAGTCCCAAGGAGGTAGGTCCTGTGATGAACCCATTTCACAGGAGGAAACTGAGGCTCAGATGAAGTCAGGAGTAAATGACAGAGTCTGGCTCCAGGACCCCTGCAGGAGTCACCTTTCTACTGGGACAGCCCTAAACACTGCACCTGTGCCAGGTGCCATAATTCACAATTTCCCTTGAGCCTCACGATAACTTGCGGACTTGTGGTAGGAACTGGGATGCCTATGATGTCCTTTTATAGGTGAGAAAATGAAGGCTCTGGGGGACGGTGACATCGTCATCGTTCAAGAAGGAGAATGAAAAAAAAGACAAGAAAACCACTATCTGCCACCCCATGAGCCAGCACACAGGCATCTCATTTCACTAAATTCTCTGAGCAGGACACGTTTTTTCCCCCAACCTAGAGGGGGAGAAACAGAGGAGGGGGACTGGGGCTGCCAGATGGGAATCCAGGCTGGTCTGACTCCAAAAGCCCAGGCTGTGATGTGAGGCATTTGCCCCTACAATGGGCCCCTACATGTCCTTCTGCAGATCCAGGTCTCTCCTGTTGAGTACCACATTTCCTTCCATGTTTTGGGGACCTAGATTTTGGCCAAGGAACACAAACTCTTGCAGCACACTGCAAATGTCTCTGGTTGAAAGATTGGTGTCTGTGGTTCCAGCTATCCTGACTTTTAATGCTGACTGAAGCCTGGGCCAGATCAGAGTCCTCTAGCCATTGTTCTGGGCTTAAATCCACTTCTGTGCACCTGCTGCTTGGGAGTCTCAGGCTGGTCCCCAAGAAATGGGCTCTTCTTACTTTACTGAAGAGCAGGAGGTGGATGGGACCATGGGGCCTGCCTAATGAACCCAAAGGCACTACTATCTCTGGAATAATGAAATTTTCTGCTATCATGGAATTATTCTATATTGTGCGGTCCAAAGCAATGACCACTAGGCCACATGTGGCTATCGAGCGCTTGAAATGGAGCTAGTAAGATGGAAGAACTGAAGGTTTGATTTTAACCCATTTTAAATTTTAGACCTGTGTGACTAAGGACTTGTCATATCAGATCCTCACTACCCCTGTCAAGCAGAAGGGAAGATCCATTGACTCAGGGCCCGTAGGAGGACAGGAAGGTGACAGAGTCAACCCAGGTCAGCTCCTGGTTCACTATAGAATTTTGAAGACTGGGCCCAGGCTGACTGGTCTCATTCTTTGGCTTAGAAAGAAAAAAACTGAAATTGAACTATCCATACTCTTAACACCCAGTAGTGGGGTGGGTGGGGTCAGGCACCGCGGACTGGGACAGTACCTCTTTCTGTTTGGGTCCACAGAGCCCTGTTACTTAGGGTTCACACAAGACCTGCCTTAGTTTGACTAGGAGGTAGAAGTCTATCCCACCTTACAGTCTGAAAACCTGTAAGAGTGAGAGGCAGATGCCCAAGAGGCAGAGCTGGCAGGAGGGCAGGGCCTGATCAGAGGGGTCAGAGGGACAGAGCTGCCAGCTCTATGGCTTGCTTGTGGGTAAAAGCCATTGGAAATGGCAATGGCCACATTTTTGTACTAGTGCTGTCTGACTGCCAGAAAGGTCAACCAGAGCCATCTTCCCTGAGAACTCCGCTGGCCCTGCGGCCCTGGGAAATGCCTATTGTGGGCCAAGAAAAGCTGCCTGTGTCCTTCAGCCCATCACAATCTTTAAGGTTCCTGATGGAGGTGGAAGGCTGGACCTTGGAGGCCAGGAGATGTAGAAGTGCCTGCTAGGTACCCCCACCCCCACTTTCCAGTCTCCTTTTTCTCCCTTTGTGATCGGCCCTGCCTCCAAGGGCCATGCAGGGGGTGGGGGCAGCCAGGAGCGGAACAGCCCAGTGGCTCTGGAATGCCAGGCATCCAGGTCACCCGCTGCTGTGAGATTAATGGCTCCAGTGAGAAGCCAAGAACAGCCTGGCTCCCTAGCTCCCCGGGGAGCGGAAGCGCCTCCTGCCTGCCTCCCCCCACCCTCCTCCTTTACAGGCTTCCAGAAACTGGCCTTTCTTTGGCTGAGCCAGGCCCCAAAAGTCAGCCCTCCCTTCCCTACAGGGCACTCCTCATCTGCCTGGCCCTGTCACGGACACTCTCCCAAGGGCAACCCCCCCCCTTCCTTTTCTCCCTCCACTCCTCTCTAGAGAGAGGTAGCCACCGCCACCTCACTTTGCCTGCCTATAAGGGCAGGTGTAGCCTGGCCTGCCTCAAGCTCCCCAAACCCTTGATGCCTTCAGTGGCTTCTCCATGCACCTCCAGGGGAGCCATCTAATGGCTTCTTCACCTCTGGCTCTCTATTCCACCCCTGAGATCCCCAGAAGCCCCCCCAGTTAGGCCTCCTGATCCAGGGATCTCCTGATCAGTCTCCTGAATCATGAACACTTCTGAATGTATGGGAATCTGTTCCTCTGTTAAGCTCATGGCTTCTCTCCGGACCTCCCATGCCAATTCCTGGGCCTGCTCACACCCTCTGCTAAACACCTGTCAGGTGCTTAGCCCACTTCTGCTAATGAACAAATGAATGAATGAAGGGATGGATGGGGTAGTCAATGAACTCATCATTCAAGGATGCACGGCCTTCCTCCTTTACAGAGAAGCCTCCAGAACCCCTTTAGACTGTTGGCTCCCTTGCTATGGATGCTCTCCACCATCCTCCCCAGCTTCTCATTCCCATCAAGCACTCCCAAACTTTCTGCTGCCTGGGACTCCCTGAAAACCTCAGACTGTTCATTTTCCTTCATCCTACTGTGACCAGAGCAATCCTGTATCCCCTACTGCCCAATGCACCCGCAAATGCTGACCAACACTGCAATGATGGTCAGTACCATAGCTCAGCAAACCGCAACTTCCCTCTTGTCCTTCCCAATAAACAGAGATCCAGATCTTATTCTTCTATGGAAGCCACCCTCTCTCCCATTCGTTTAGCGTTGGGCAAAAAGTAGCCATTTAATAAACTTGTGCCCAAAGTACTGTTTTGCAAGGGAAAGGACCAACCCTCTCTCTCCATCCAAGAGATCAATGGTGCCATTGCCTGCATATTGGTTAGGCTTCTTAGGGAGACCACTACTTACTCTGAGCAAGCAGCTTGGCCACCATGTCCTGACTGCCGGCTTGGGCCTCCTGTGTCTTGCTCGCCAGGCGGCGGTTTGCAGACTCCAATCTCTCTGTTTTAAGCGAAGGAAAGATGTTTCGGTATTAGGTGATGCTGCTTGCTTTGGGTTTTCCCTGGGATTCTTTTCTCTGTGAGGCTGCATCCTCTGGGCTGGGAATGGGCTCATAAGGACCTGCTGTGGCTCACTGTTCACAGTTCCAGCTCAACTCAGGTCCCAATAAGAAGGGAGCACCCTCTCAGAGGTCATGATCTGGGTCATATGGTGAGAACTCCATAAGGAATTCCAAAACCCAGAACACAGAGACAAGAATCTCTCCATAAGGGTGGCCCCCCAAGAGTCTCACCCTGACACTTATGTTTGCAGAGAATACAGATTATGAAGACTCCCCTGGAGCAGAGGGCCCAAAGACTCTCCCCAGCCCTCACCTCTAAGATCGCGGTTGAAATCCTGTAGCCGCCTCATTTCACTATCCATCTTGTTCCTCATGGTCTTCTCCAGGGCCTCACGCTTGGAAGAGGCCCTTGTCAGACTCTCATGAGCCTCTGAGAGCTGCTGGATCTCACTCTCCAGCTGCAAGGGACAGACAGCAAGCTGAAGGAAGGGGAGGGATCCCAGGAGCCATCCCAGGCTGGAGATTGGCAGCACTTTCCATTAGAAAAGGGGAGAGATGACAGGGCAAAGAACAGGAGCTCCAGATGGCTCCGGTGGGATGGTCAGAAGCCTGCAGCCTCCCGAGGTGGACCAGACTACTGGGACCACAGTAGGTTCCCATCTGCTGCCCCAAGGACCAGAGGCTGAATGAACCCAGCTTTTCTGTGCCCATCATTCAGTGAGAAGCATTTTTCTGAGCAAAGGGTCAGGAGCGGGCATGTTCTGGGTGGATCAACAGGACACCAAAGGGCAGTCATGGGAGCCTGAGGCTATCTGTTAAAACTGAACTTTGGTGCACAGTGGTAAACTTCCACTAAAGACCAGAGCCTGAGCTGCCTCTGTCTGGAATATCTGCCCCTGAAGTGGCCCCATCCAAGCCAAGGGCTAGCCTGGGCCCGGCTGCCCCTCCCACTTGGCTGCCACAGGTCCCGCACGTGTTCCTAGCTGGCTTGCCATGCCAACAAGTGGCTTTTTTTCCCCAAGAGGAGGGGTTTTCTCTTTGGCCTAGAACAGACTGGCTGTTGTGTGGGGGACACAAAGGGCTCTCTGTGGGAGGTGTCTGCGGGAGGGGTGTGTGCAGGGCAAGGGTGCAGGGGGCTGGTGAATGAGCTCTTTCTAACTGCCACTGGCCAGCAACTGCACATGCTCCAGGCTGGAGTCAGCTTGGGGGGTGCATGAGGAGTGAAAGGGGGTGGGGGAATGGAAGGATGGAGAGAAATCCAACCAGACCCAGGCTTTCAGGATCCTATTTCCCTTTGCACTGCCCACTCCCCAGCCAGACCCCCAGGGTCCCTGGCAGGGCCTACCTTCTCAATGCGGCCTGCCTTCTCTGCTGAGCTCTCCAGCTCCCTCTGCAGCCTCTCGTTATCCCTCTGTAACCTGGCATTCTCCCTCAGCACGGCCTCCATCTGGGCAAGGTGGGCACTGCCCGAGGTGGCTGACGAGGCTTGGGCACTCGCTGGTCCTCCCACCCCAGGTGGATTGGCAGAGCCCAAGGGTCCATGACCAAGGGCGGCTGGATGAGGGGGTGGGGGCGGGGAGTGCTCCTGGGGCTGCTGCAGGTACTGGTACTGCTGTTGCTGCTGCTGGAGGAACACGGGAGGTACCTGGGCCTGCAGGATCCTGGAGAAACAGAAGAGACGATGCTCAGAGACTATACCTATATTAATAAGTGACCAATATGACTGCTGATTGTTACACAGCCTCTCAGTGTTAGCAGAAACCAGTGGGGAAGGCTTTTTCCAAATGATGTCTGCCTGAACTCTCAAGAGCCAAAGAAGAGGGCTGGAGGGATTAATGCAGGATGGTGCTTTGTGTCTTTCCTCACTGAGGTCAGGGCTTTGGGGAATCAGCCTAAGCAATCCCGGGCCTCCTAAGCAACCAGTGCTTAAGTGAGGCACCATTAAAAAATGCAGCCTAGATCCTCCTAATCTATACAAGGTTCTTTTGAGGTCTGGAGGCCACCGTGATCATGACTGAGTACGTAGCCTTTCAGACCCTGGGGCCACTTGGTGGTGGGTCCTAGCAGCTACTCTGTGTTTGTTATAAGCTGCCCCTTTCAGGAGCGCCAAAGCAGCACATTCAAGTTTTCTATTTCAGGGCCTGTAATACCACCCCCGCAAACACTGAAAACATTTTTAGAAGACTCCAGTTAATGGTTAGACAAGACAGATTGCAGGATAAGAGTCTGATGAATAGATGTTCAAATCACAGCTCCTGCCATTTGACCCTTGGCAAGTGCCTCTACCCCATGGCATTGCCATTCCTCTGCTAATCACCAAGGTCTCCAGACCCACAGGTAAGGCCTAGCAGGGTGCTGGTACTCCCATAATGGAAGTTCATTCCCACCTCTCCTAATGGGGACTCAGCTCACTCAATTTAAAGAATGAGGGGCCATCTCTGGACTAGTATGGTGGGTGAGTTCAGGGACAATGCTCTACTGGCCTCTGGCACTGGTATAACATCAACCTCAGGGCTGCATGTTGAGGGGAGGAACAAAAAGCCAGAGGGTCTTTCTAGAGCTTTAGGGTTCCCACTGTCACAACTACTTCAGTTTCACAAAGACTTTTCCAAATTCCAGAAGCCCTGAAATCTACTCCAGGTCCATCTCCTCAGCCCTCATGCCCAGCCCTCCAGCCTGTGACTCCTCCCGCGGCTAAAATTCCTGACCCAGCTCCCAACAAATAGTCTTCATCTGATCAGCTACAAAAGAGAGGGCAGTGGGCATGTTTCTCTTACTACTTAAAGTGGGGCTTCCAGTGAGAACTGGCCAGAAGGTCTCCACTGTGAAGTCCAAACTCTCTCTGCTACATGTGGCTAGTTCTCAAGGTGGCTTCAGAGCTTGCTGCCCTCCGCACCAGGCAGGGTAGACACATTCTTTGGAGATGACTTAGCTCCAAGAAAGAATAGCCTTCACACTTGCATTCCCTGCCCCTTGTCCCCCCTCCCCACCCCATGTCTTTTTGTTCTCCTGCAAATAGTCAATTTCCTTGCCCGAGATATTATCTTTTCCTGACAGGGGTTCAATAGGGCTGGTCCAAAAGAAGAAACCACGACTCAGCTTCCGATACTCTTCCTGATCGGTCCTGAGAAGGGAGATAAGGTGGGAGTCTGGATGGGGTGGAGGCTGGAGAGAAACCAAGAGACTCCATCCTCTGGTTCCTCCATACCAGCAACATCACGTCACTCATTTCTCGAGAGCAAGGAAAGGCCAAATGGTGGGAAAGGGGGTGACTAAATGAAGACTCAGCAAGAATGAAGAGAACCAGACTTTGACCTTCAGCCACCAGGAGGAAGAAAGTTACTAATCCATGGGGCATCTCTGGTGGGGGTTCCTGGACCCTCCTGGGTAGAGATGCAGGAGTGAGGGCTGGCTTCTCAGGACCAGGTGAGATGACCAAGGCAGAGCCTTCTATCTAAAACCTGTATTTCTGCAATCATCTGGCTTCCTGCCTCCACTCTCCGCACAGCCATTTATTACCCATGTATGTGCCTTTTTAAGATAAATCACATCCTCTAATGGTTTCTCTTCACACTCAAAATCAAACTCTTAAGTTGCTACCCTGACCTGGCTCCTCTCCTGAGCCACCACCACACAAAGGAGCTCACCTGGACCCAGCATCCTCTCCCATTGGAGGCTGCAGGCACAGGGAACAAAAAAAAAAAAAAAAAAAAAAAGAAATGAAAAAGCAGAGACAAGACAGCTGACAGCTGTCAAGGTGGCCACCTGGTTCTTACAATCTCATTAGGAGCCCCTCCCAATAATCATAGCAAGCATGTTTTTAAAACACCTTCTAGGGGCTGGGGATATAGTTCAGTTGGTAACAGCGCTTGCCTTGCATGCACAAGGCCCTAGGTTCTATTCCCCAGCACTACCAAAAATATGTATATAAAACAACTTCAGGGGAGGTCTCACCTTTCTGTTTAACTTAGGGAGAGTTCAGCAATGATTGCCATTCTCTGTCTCTGGGAAATTCTGAAATCTCACCTTTAACTTCTGCTACAATTCAAATCCTCTGGGAACCCTACTTACTTGAAGATTACAGCTAAGCAGGTGTCTGAGTCTAGGCAATGCTCCTCTGAACTTCTTATGTGACCTTGGCTAAGTTCTCTTTTCCTTCAGCCACTGGCTCTCCCTTCTCAAGAAGGAGGGATTAGATCAGGAGCTGGGGTGGGTGGGGAAGCTCAGACCCAAGGTGTGATCTTGAGACTCTCCAGCCTTGGAGAGTACCCTGGAAGAATGCCAAGATTTGAAAGAGCATGATGGGGGTTGTTACCTGACTTCCGCATGCTGGAAGTGTGGGCTGTTGCGGGCGCGATACCTCGGGTCAGTGACAGCAGTGGTCTCGTGGGCCAGCACAACATGTGGGTACTGAGGTGGGGGCCCACGGGGCTCTGGGCCCTCAGCAGGGGAGCCCCTGGGTGGGGGACCCTGTTGGCTGCGCGCCAGCTGTGGGAAGCTGTGGGAGGAGCTCATGTGGCTGGGGGCCCGGGCTCCATTTCTCTCCAGGGACAGCTGCAGGAGCCTTTCACTCAGGGAGCGCACGTGCCCATGCCGCAGCTCCCGCAGAGCTTCATCCTGCCGCCGGGTGCCTCCTGGGGCCCCGCGAGGATCCCGGTCCCCGACCTGCGGGCGAGACCCCGCCTGCTGGGCGGCATAGTACTGAGAGTGGGCTTTGGCCTCCTCATAGGTGGGCAGCTCTTCGCCCTTGCTGGGCTGTGAGCACAGCCGGTAGAAGGTGTTCTCTGCCAGGTGGGTTTCACCACCCTGGTGCTCCTGGCCCTGGGGCTCTTGCCTAGTGGCCTGTTGGAGCCCCTGATTGTCCTCAGGTGCCAAGATCTCCAGGGAGCCCCCAGCTGCAGCCCCACCCCGCAGGGCCTGCTGTTGGATGGCCAGCAGTGTGCGTGTCTCCGCCAGGTTGCCGTAGCGCAGCTGCTCCTGGATGAGGCGGTGCAGGACTGTCCCTGAGGAATCTTCCAGCGTCCTCATGTTTCTTTGGCTTGCACACACCTGCCTAGACAATGGCCAGCAGGCACCTGGCCCCAGAGCACCTGGCAAGAGAGACAGAAGAGCATTCAGTGGGAGCATGTGAGAAAGGGGAGGGCTTTTCATTATAGCAGGTTGAAAGCACAATGGTAAAGAATAAGGCTGGGATGGGAAGGTTGCCTGCAAGCCTGGGTCCAAGTGCTAACGCTGCCACCTATGGATTAAAGCAAGTCACTTAACCCCTGAGCCTCAGTTTCTTCCTTTAAAAGGGGGGGGGAGGGGCTGGGGATGTGGCTCAGCGGTAAAGTGCTCCCCAGCATGTGCAAGGTTCGATCCTCAGCATCACATTTAAATAAATAAAATAAAGGTATTGGGTCCAACAACAACTAAAAATTATTTGAAAAAGCACATACTGCTTGCTCAGGGAGTTGAGAATGAATAGAGGCACTGACTACTGAGTTTCCAGAACACTGTAAATCCTTGGCAAGGTCATCATTGTAATGATATACATGAAGACCTACTAAGCCTAGAGAATACAACAGAAACCCACAGGGTAATCTAGTAGGAACCTCAGCTCCTGCAGTCAGGGTCCCGTCAAACAGTCTGAAGGACAACTCCAGACGGATCCAACCACTGAGCTGTTACTAGGAGTAAACAGGGGCCCTAGTTTTTGACACATGATTTAAAAAAAAAAAATCCACATAGCTCAGTAGAAGCCTTAGGCAAACAGCCGCCAGGACCCTCTAAGCCCAGCTTTGTCACAATCTACTACACTCTATCCTCCCCCCGGCCATCTTCCCTCTGCCCTCATTGTTCCTGAATCAGAGAGCTCTTAGGATAGACTCTAGGCTCTACTTCATCAAGAGCTGCTGATAAAATTAATCTTGGACTCTTTGTCACAGAAGACCTTGGCAGTCTGTTGGTAGTTCTACAAGAGGGAGAACCTGTATCTAGGCCAGAGAATAAGGGATGGGGGTGGGGGAGGCTACAGAACAATAGGACAATGGTTTGGTGAGATAAAGCCAAAAGGTGCTACCCAGCAGGTTGGTCACCTGCTCACAGTTACTGCAAGGGAGTCAGTGTTAAGAAAGAATGGTATGGTGTCTTTGATTTTTTTCCCAATTTGCTCCTTGGAAAAGCCCCCATTGGTCCTCTAGGGACATAGGGGATGATCACTCAATATCTTTGTTGACATCAGTAACAATTACTTGAGCCAATTGGAGAGGGAGAGGGAGAGGGGAAGGTCTTTGTTACAGAGACCTGGGGCTGGAGACTGAGCCCAAAATCTAGGGAGATCATATCCAAGGAAAGTGTTCCCTTCTAAACCTGGGCTCCTTCCTAGTGGCTCATAGCCTGGAAGGCTGCCTGCCTCCCTCACCCAGCTTCCTTTCCACAGACTCCTCCAACACAAACCTCTAAACTGGGATTCAGAGAAAACCAAACAAACTGCACTGCCACAGGTACTGTGGAAGGGCAACCAGGGAATGTAGCCTCTCCTCCCGCACAAAACTAGCTCCAGTGCCTTGTCTGGGCTTGGCAGAACAGCCATTCCCAATTCACTCCCCAACTCCCAGGATTCCAGCTGCCCAGAGCTGGTAGTGGGAGACCAGTCTGGAGGACACCTAGGTACCCATGCTTCCTGGCACCCAACTCTCCTCCCCGGATGTTTAAGACTACAGAGAGTTACCAGAGGCAAAACAAGCCAACAGGAGTCAGTTCACATGGAGTTTCGCCTGTGAGGCATTTCCTAAGTTAATCACTATCTGAGCTGACTCCTGCTGAGAAGGATCGGGGAGCGGCTAGAAGGAATGCAGAACCTTCCCCACAGATTCCAGACGCGCCAACAATGTGCCTGAACTGGACGCAAGGAAAATCTCCGAGGCCTCTTATCGCCAATTTGTCTCGGAGATGCACAACCTTTCAGATACCTAAAAGCTCAACCGTTATTAAAACCTGCTTCCCTTACCCGAACCCTGCACCCCTGAGGTGCTAGAGCGCTGTGCTCTCGGCAAGCCTCCTTTGAAAGCAAGCACGCGGCTTCACTCTCGCCAAAGGAACCAAAGCCAGTCTCTAAATCAGATCGCACCCGACCAGGGCTCCCAACCTACCCCGACCCTAGGCGGACCACAAGCACCGGTAGCCGCCCCGAGAGCCTAGGGCGAGCGGGCGAGGGCAGTCCGCAGCCAGGAGAGGTCTTTAAGCGTCGCGGGTCCGCCTCCCTTCCTCCCTCCCCAGCCCTCTTTGTTTTCCAAATACTCCAGCGCTGACGTCACCGGGCTGGACAGCAGACTGCATTCTTTCTAAGTGAGAGCCAGTTCGTGGCTCCAAAGAGGATTTTCCAAGGAAGACAAAGAGGAATTCTTGGGCTAGTTGGGGGCAGACACCTGTACCCCCTCACCTAACCAAATCGGCTGCCAAGGCCCTGCAACCTTGATTTCCAAGGACCTTGATTTGCAAGAGGACCTTGCAACCCCTTCTGCGCCCCCCCCCCCCGGCCCCCTAACGACACTACCGACCCCGCGGCTCCCCAGAGTCTGCCCCCTTTTTCCAGCCTCCAGGGATCCACGCATCTTCAAGAGACCTCCCATCCGCCCAAAGCGCACGGCGCAGCGCTCTCCAGGTGTACTTGGACTTTGCGGCTGCCTCGAAAGAGCGCCCTGAGGACGCCGGGTCCCGGAAAAGGCCGGGCTGCACCCGGACTCAGGCTCGATCGGCCGGCCCCACGCAGTCCCTGGAAGCACCCAGCGGCCTTCCTTACCGCTGAGACCAGCTGGTGCCCGCCGCGGTCAGAACAGACGTCCCAGCCCGACTCCGCTCAGCTGCACAGCGGAGGTGCGCACTAGTCGGTGGCGCCGACGCTCTGTGCCGGTCGGGCTCCAGCGCGCAGCCCCAGGGTCGGCCCGCGCTGGAGGCGGCTGCTATGCCAGGAATGTGAGAGTTTCAGGTTCCCCCTCGGGATCAAAGCGAACCACAAATAACCTCTCTGCGCGCCGCCCTCCTCCGCCCTCCGCCTCCTCCCGCTCCCCCGCCCGGCCCCCGCCTTCCTCCCGGGAGGCGGCGCTGCGGGCTGGGCGCAGGGCTGGCCGCTGAGCTCCGCTCCCCCGCCGCCCCGGGCCCCCGCCGCCGCGCTCGGCCCTCTCCCCCTGCTCCGCCGTCTGAGCTGCTGGGGTCGATTTAATCCAACTCGGCCCATCACGCCCCCACTTCTTCCCCGCCCTCCTTAGCCGTCATCCCTAAAGCCTTCGACTGGAAGCCACGCTAGGATGTGCACCCCGAATCTCGGGGATGCTGAGGGAGGGGTGCTCCGAGCGTTGTTTTTTTTTGGGGGGGGGTTAGGCTACAAAGACGTCCACATCCAGTCCATTTGGACCGTACCGGGGCAAAGAGATGATTCTGTTTCCAGTGGCGAGCCTCTCCCCTCACCCCCTCTGTTTTCACCCCCAGCGGCAACCTTTGAATTGCACTTTTATTGTTTACAAACACCTTCGCCAGTTCTTCAGACCAGTCTCCCCAGGAAGTGTGAATCTGGGTTGAGAAATCCGGTGAATTCGAGCCACCTACCCAAATGAATCACCCTCTGTTGAGCATTCTGTCCAACTCTTCTAAGGTAGTAATCGGCGCCCCTTTAAGCATGCCGCCACCCGCTTTTCACTGTCATCATTCTGCCCTCCCATGTCACCATGCAAGTTTATCATTCTTGTCATAAATGAGGAAACTAAGGCCGAGAGAGGTTAAACATCTTACCTAGGGTCCCACAGAGAGTCACTGATGAAGCCATCTCCCTTCTTCACCCACCTGAATCAGGATTCACTAGATGAACAGGGCAAGCCCTGAGACTTCTCCTCTCTCCACCTGCCCTCTCCCTGTTCCAGTCTCTTCTTTCTTCTTTCACCTCTTTCCACACCCCTGCTGGCCAGGGACTCTCCCTTGTGCCTACTTCTTTGACTCCTGCTCTTTCTCATCTACTTGGAAACTTCTTTGCCCCCAGCCCCTTCCTCCCCTATATAGCCACCAGGCTGTGAGGTGGAGAACACCTTCTTCCCAAAACCTATTCTGATAGGGTCACATGCACCTTCCTCCCTACCTCCACAGCTCCTCGGGCCATTCCTGAGTCCTGACCACACTGGGCCTCTCCATAGGTTCCTGAGATGAGGGTGGGGTGGAGAGATGACAGTCTCAGAACACCAGGAGGGTCTGGGCTGATCACTATCTCTGGCTGGGCCCTCCCCTCCTCCCCTCAGCATGGGGTTTGTAATTCCTAGACTTTTCTGGAGGGAACCAGGGACAAGGAAACTTTGCAAGCTCAATAGCCAAGGACATTCTTTTTTTTTTTTTTAATTTCAAGATACTTTATTTACTTTTTTTTTTTAGAGAGAGAGAGAATTTTTTTTTATTTTTTTATTATTAGTTGTTCAAAACATTACAAAGTTCTTGACATATCATATTTCATACATTTGATTCAAGCGGATTATGAACTCCCATTTTTACCCTATGTACATATTGCAGATTCACATCAGTTACACATCCACTTTTTTACCTACTGCCATACTAGTGTATGTTGTATTACATATAAGAGGAAGTGAGGGGAAAGGGAAAAAAAAAACAAGAGAGAGAAATGAATTACAGTAGATGGGGTAGGGAGAGAAGATGGGAGAGGGGAGGGGAGGGGAGGGGAGGGGGGATAGTAAAGGATAGGAAAGCCAAGGACATTCTTAATTTTTAATAAAGCCCTCCTTAAAAAAAGTGTGTGTGTGTGTATGTGTGTGTGTGTGTGTGTGTGTGTGGTTTATTTGGAAGCCAAATATTGCCTTTCAAATAGTGATTGGATCTCAGACAAATGAGAAAATGGGTCATTTATGGGAAGCTAACAAAGAGAAGCTATGGCCACTATATGGCTCTCTTAACTAGACACAGTAGATGGGAATTTTATAAAGGAGAGGGAAGAGACAAGGGGTTCCCAGGAGGCCTCGCCTTGTGGATAGCATTCTTCTTGGAAACACTTGGTGGAGGTATGAATGAGAGTGGGTGTGGGTATGTGCACTCTGGGGTTGCAAAACCAGGACAAAGGCCACATGGGACAGTCTTGTCATTCGGGGCTTTGGGGGGGGGACACCTAACAAAATGCTTAACAAATGTTCCTCAAATGGTTGCAGAAAGGGGTCAGTTCAGGGCAGCTGGGGTTAAGGAGGTACCTCTTAGAGTGGGGGGCAAGCTTGCTGCAGACCAAGATGGACCCGGAGAGACAGGAGGAGTAGGGGGATCCCAACACTTGAATGGATAAATTTGTAAACTTTCTTTACAAATTTGTAAACTTTCTAAAAGAAGAAAAACATTTTCTTTTTTTTTTTTTTCTCCTTTCTGCAAGAAGAATGGAGGGAAGGGTCTCTCAAGCAGGGCAGGGCCAGGGGCCTCAGTGGAACCTGCCTGAGCTGGCAGCTATGCCTGGCTCTTCAGAGTGGTTGGGTGAAGGGATGACAGTCCCAGACCCCCAGGAAAGTCTGCGCTGATCACAACCACTGGCTGGGCCCTCCCTTCCTCCCCTCAGCATGGAGTTTCCAATTCCCAGACTTTGCTGGAGGGAACCAGGGACAAGGAAATTTTGCAAGCTCAATAGCCAAGGACATTGTTAATTTTTAATAAAGCCCTTCTAAAAAGTGTGTGTGTGTATGTGTGTGTGTGTATGTGTGTGTGTGTGCGCGCCTGAAGTATGTGTGTGCTCAAATGTGCCTGAAACAGATACTCATAGGTGGGCACTGGCTGGCCAGGCTGCTTGCATATAAATCTTTGCTGACAGGAGAAGAGAGACAATGGTTTTCTTCCTCATCCACGTCTCTAGGCCTGCCTTGCCCCTCCCCCCACCTCCCCCTTCCCAACCCGCGGGTAATGATTCTTCCCAGGTGACTGTGTGGCTGGCTTTGTCTGGAATCCTGCCCAGGAAAGATGCAGAAGTGACCCAGTTCTCAGACCAAGACAGGCTTCAGGCCTCTGCCCTGCAGAGGGCGGTCCACAGGGGCGTGGTGTATCATAGGTGTGTATGGGGCTTTGCAAGAGATCCAGGCAATCACACCCTCATTCTTCCTTAGCCTGGGTCTGTGCCTGTGATAGAAATTCAGTCTGGCCCTGCAGCTGCATCTCACTGCACCTGACAGAAATATTAAAGGGTTCTTAGGGGGGACCCCATTCCCTTAGCAGCCTGCTTCTGTGGAGCTGAGAAGGAACCGGGTCCCTCTCACTTTTCAAATGGTTGATTGGTGGGGGAGGGGCTTCAGGGCCTGGATGGCAACATCAAAAGAAGATGGCTAGTTGTGAAATTCTCTTTTCCAGCCTCCCCTGAACACTCCGTTTGACAGGTTATGGGAACCGGAAGCCTACCAGAATCTGGGGCAGGAAGCAAACTACAGGAAGATCCTGGACATTGAGATGGAAATTCCAGTGCTACTTCCAAGACAAGAGGATCCAAGTCAGAGCCTTCTTCTCTTTGTCCTTATGCAAAGTCCTGTCCCTCTTCACCCCCTTCACCACCCCTCCCTCTAAATTTTCTCCCCAAGCCCTTGCTTTCTGCTCCTTGAGGCCTCAGCTCCCTTGCACTCTAGGCCCTGGAATCTCTCACAGGTTGCCCCCCGCCCCCGCCCTCCCCCCATCTGTGTCTCTGGGAATTAAAATCCAACTTTGAAGCTTTTGTGAATTAAAACTCCATAATGGTTAAGGTCAGAGGATGGTTTCCTAAAAAAATTGAAGGATCCTTGTCTTTCCAAACTGCATGCACCCCTTGAGTTCTTAGCTTTTTTCTGTGGTCCTTTGCCCCTGAAGCCAAGGGCTGGGGAGATTTTTGCAAATGGTGAGACCACAGAATGGGAAGGGACCTCTGACCATTGCTGCCATTTCCTCCTCTCCAGGACCTCCATCACTCCCAGTCCTGCCTGAAAGATGTGTCTAATGGATATAGGCGAATAAGAGGAGAAATTGTGGGAGTGCACCCTTCAGTCTATGTCTGAGTCATCAATCAGAAAGGGAAGGGATTGGAACTGGGAACTTCAGGCCTATAAATAAAAAAAGATTTTTTTTTTTTTTTGTACTGGGGATTGAACCCAAGGGTGCTTAACCACTTCCTCTGTTCGCCACCCTTTTTATATTTTATTTTGAGACAGGGTCTCACTAAATTGCTTAAGGCCTTGCTAAGTTGCTGAGGCTGGCTTTGAACTTGCCATCCTCCTGCCTCAACCTCCAGAGCTGCTGGGATTACAGGCATGTGCCACTCCAGCTAAAAGAAGATCTTTTAGAAATATTAGCTTAGTCCCAGTCACCTGCCTTTTCTGCAAAGCTACCTTGGACTGTGGGTACTGATTTGGTAGGCATGCCATTGCTGTCTAGAAAAATCCTCTGCTCTTGATAGAAGGCTTCAGAGAATGCAGGAAGCCTCTGGGTTTGCACGCCTTGTAGGAAAGGGCCCAGGGTAAGGTTTTGTGTCTACTAGGGAAGGGCCAGTATGACCAAAGAGTGCCCCCTAGTGAGCTGCATTCCCAGCTGCTTGGGTCAGCTCAGCCCAGCCCAGGGCTCCCCAGGTGGGCCTTGGGGTCTGGTTTTGGAAGTGGGGATGGGAAGGATTGGAGGAGGGAGAGATGAGATGTTTGGGATGGGACAAGATTTCATTCTGGTACAGATGTCTCCCAGATCCCTCTAAAAAATGGACACTGGGTTCAGTTGTTATTGTTTCTTAGTTTTCCTCCCATTTCAGCTTCTCCTGGGCTTTCACATGGTCTTTAAAGACACACCAGCTTTCATACAAACAACTTTATGTCATTGACACTGGTAAAGTACTTTGCATTCACTCA